GGCTTCATCTCAGGTCTCCCGCCCCCTCCCAGCTTCCCCGAGCCGCCGCCACACCGATAAATCACAGATGACCCTTCCGGCGAGGAAAGGCGTTCCTCCGCGGAAGCGACGCGAACGTCTCCGCTTAACGGGTAACCAGCAAAGAACGAATCCACTTCGTAAAAAATGTGGAAAAAAATGCGCTTCTGGCGAGGGCGTTGCACTGGGATTCAGAAAAGTTTGTTCAACGTTACCGATATCCGCGTTCTTCGGTGGAAGTTACTTGGAAGTGTTTTGGGTAGAATAAAAAGGAAGAAAGAGACGTTTACGCTGCCGTTATTTTCAGTACCAACTGGGACGTTGGAGTGAGGGGGCTGGACTCCCGAGAAAGAGGAATTTACCCCTCCAGTCACTCCCTGGGAAGATTCGGCAGCGGGTTTAATTCAGGACCCTTCACGGGGCGATTCATAGAATCATTAAGGTTGGAAGAGACTTCCAAGATCATCGAGTCCAACTGTCAACCCAACACCCCCATGCCCACTAAACCATGTCCCTCAGCGCCTCATCTACCCGTCTTTTAAATGCCCCCAGGGATGGTGACTCCACCACTTCCCTGGGCAGCCTGGTCCAATGTTCAACCACTCTCTCAGGAAAGACATTCTTCCTCATCTCCAAAAGATCCAGACCGCGCTCGCGCAGCAGTTACGCACCAGCCCAACCTCCGCACCCAGCCACCGAGGCGCAGGAGCACAAACACCCTTCCCAACCTCCTCGCGGCCATCAGCCCCAACGCGGCGGCGTGTCCTTTTTTCCACGCTCCGCTGGGAATTAATATGTTTAACTCGGCCCGAGGAGGTTCCTCAGCGGGCTTATAAGGAATTGCTAGGATAGGAGCACGTTACCGGCTTGAGCTTCTGTGCGCTGATTGGCCAGGGTGATCATGGGCAAAGGAAGCGCCAAATCAGAGGCCAGGCGATCCAGCAGGCCCGTCGGCCAGGCGATTTCAACGCTACCACGCGCCCACCTCATTAAAATGAACGCCCTCACAGCAAGGAAAACGCCCGCTGCCCTCCGGATTGCTCGGTGGCAACTAATTCACCGAAGCGTCCGCACCTCGAGGCCCGGGGAATAAAGCACGGGTTTTTTTCTTTTTTAAACGGGCAGCTCTCAAACAGGGCTACTCGCGACGAAGGAGAAGCGCCGCGCTCCGGGCCGCGCCTTCCTCTTACCCGGACGCAGCTGTGGGGAATCAGGCGGGAGGCCGTGAGAGAGCGGGCGGCTTGCAGGCCCGCCCGGTCACTTTGTCAGCTTTTTAAGCCCGCCGTGACGCTGCAAACGGCTTCAAAAGGGCGCTGAAGCGGAGGAAGGAACCGCGGAACCCCAGA